TCGTGCCAGTCTGGCCCTTGATCCCGATCCAAACTTGGGTAACTGCTAAGATATGCTGCTTTATTTTATGGCTGACAAAAAAATACAAATGAGAACATTTTGTCAATCCTAGCTTCTCTGGCTGCCCGCACTCATCCAATCATCTGTCTAAAGAAGTGCTTCCTTCTACCAATTCTACAGTTTATGTACTGCATCTCCCATTGGTTCTTTTAGGTAGCCCACATTACTGTTGCTTCTTTGAGTTTGAATTACCTTTGTTTTCTTTGCTATGAGGGAATTTGATTTTTTTCTGAAATTCCCCTGCAGTCTTCTTGGTTTATGACAATAGTGATTCACTTCTTGAAAACGTCTGAGGACAGTATGGCTTTTGACCAGGAATTATTCCGGGTGCTCTTCTTTGAACTCCTTATGTTTCTTTTACAAAAAGTGCCTTTGACCTTGGTTCTCTAGTCTTCTTTGACAGACTGAATTAATAGTTGTAACACTTGGAAAGTTGTAACACTGCTGCCGGACTGATGGTTAAGACTAGGTGAGAACAGGACTGGGTCAGTCCTAGAGCCTTCACCTCCAGCTCCATATCCAGCCCTTTATTTAAAACCCTTCCTCCTTTTGGATTTGTATGACCTTGTAACCAGATCCAAACCTTTTCTGACTGTGCCCCTTAGCTCTGGTTCTTATGAGTTTAAAGGAACAGAGCTGAGGAGTGCATATTCAGTTTTTACTAATGATACTCACTTCTTTTTTTTATTTTACAAATTCCATCTAAATTACCTTTTGAGAATTACTGGCTTTTGTGTGGCAGATGTGAAAGGAAAACAATGGAATTGGGGGGAAAACCATAGGAAGAGATGGACCAAGTAGCGCTGTGCATCCCTTGTCCACTTAAGACTCCCCACAGATACTCAGATCTCTCTACACATAATCCCAGCCCTGCTCCTACCCTCAAGTGCAGGACGTGCTTAGACACTGTGGGAATTAAGGGTATTCACATACTGTTCTCATGGAGGTTTTGAAAAGATCTGTTTACCCACTGATAAATCATTAATAAAGATCATGGGGCAAACTCCAACTAAAATGGTGCACTGAGCAACACTGCATTATTCTATAAAAAGCATTTTGCAGCAAGAAAATCAAATCTAAATCAGCACAGTGGTTAGCATTACTCCCTCCCAGGGGTAAGGGGCCCGGGTTCAAATCCAGAGCTGGGGTGCTATCTCTGTGGAGTTTGTGTATTCTTCCTTTGTTTGCGTGGATGTCCTGGCTCTGTCCAAAAACATACTGGTAGGCTAATTGGCTTCTGGAAAAATTGGCCCTGGTGTCAACCATCCAGGGTGTACCCTGCCTTGAGCTTACTGCATAATGGGATAGGCTCTGGCTCCTCTGTGTCCCAGAATTGGAAGAAGCAGTTAGAGAATACACTGAGAGAAAACCAAGCATTTTATGTGTTTGGGGAGCAACAGTTTACAGACCCCAACAAAGCAATTCGCCAGGCCCTGTTGTCTTTTGGCCTCTGATTTAGGCTTCACTAACTGAGCCCTCATCCCACATATGAGCCTGCACTCAAAGGAAGTGTGTGGGCAAAGCTCCCAAGAACAAAAACATATGAGGACAAGGATTGTAAAACACCCTTCTCATGTGCTAAAATGCCATGCAAAATAAATCAATACTTCCAGAACGTTTTTAGCTCAGGTTCAATGTTCTTTTAAAATAATTCTTTTTTTAAAAAACTTTAAGGGTAACTAATTTGGACGAGTATTTAAGTGTCAAGGCGTATTCAGAATGTGGTAAGACCGCTATGAGGCTGTATAAATCTGAATCTCCTCTTTAGCGTGGCCGTAATCCCGTCCTAAAACATGGTTTGGGGGTGTAGAAACTGCATGGATAACAGTTTCATACAAAATGTAACAACAGTCTTACACAGATCCTGCTATGCCCACTCCTGCGTCTTATGGATTGAAGCCCTCCCAGGAACCTAATGAGTACCTGACCCTCACAGCACCCAAAAAAAACACTGTTTGACTTCTGTTGAGTGAGCCATGTGATTCTGAGGGTTGGACGAGTGAGTCACAGGCCACTTTGTTGCTTTCAGCTTCTCTCAGGGAGAGAACAATATGATTTCCCTCACTTTGGACATCATTCCTGCAAAGTAACATTGCCAAAGTATTGACAGATAGGATTCTATGATGTAATAAACACCTGTAGGTCTGCTCTTCTACGCAGGCCAGTGACAGTGATGTGTGATTTACAGCTCATCCCTTCATGACTTGGAAATCTCTTTCAACAGAGTTCGCTGTAGCACTGTCCGCCTCTAAAAAAAGAACGCAGACCTTTTCATTACTGACAAACAAACAAAACTCTGAATCAGCTTTTTAACTTTATTTGTTTTGTCTCCTAGTGGAGCTGTGTTGTAGTCCAGGTTATTAGTGAGATACAGTATACTGCATACTACCGTATATATTACTACTGTATATATACATTATATATACTTTATATACTGTAAGTACAAACATATGTAGAGTGTATAAACAAGGAACTCTAAATTGGTAAGGTTTCAAATTTGGAAACATTTCAAATTACCTTTTAAAAATACATCACTTCTGTTGATACTTCCTTGTTATACTTAAAGTTAACTATTCTAATATAGAAAAAGAGTATTGATGAGGTGTTCATTACATATAAATACAGATAATCATTTATTGAGAAGTGTAACTACTATGTAATGTTTTACATTAAATCTTTTTACATTAAACAAAATAGTTTAGCCGGGTAACATAGTTCTTCAGTTAAAAAGTAACTTCCGTTTTTTCAGGGCACAGAAGACTTTGAACCCTGTTGCTGTGTGAGAAATCTAGATTTGTCAGCATACCGATTGAGTATTTTAGTTTTAATAATGAATTAATGACCTGGATTGAATCAAAAAGCTCATCAGTGGCTAAGTGTACATTCTGACAGTGTGGACGGTCACTAATGCTTGTGGAGTTAATGTTGTTATTGTCCTTGATAATCTCTCCACACGACTTTCTGATTACAACATCTCTTTATCTTGTAACACGATAATGCTCGGCCCCACACAGCAGGGCCACTTCAGACTTTTTGCTTCAATCTGAGATCAGTGCTGGATTGTCAGACCTTAACAGCCTAAGGATCTTGCTTGGGAAACACCTACACTCCTGTCATTCACTGGCAAATAACACTGCTGATCTGGCGTTCAGCTTACAGATTGAAAGGAGGAACATTGCTGTAGTCCGCGTGTAACTCCTCTATCACATGATTGTTCTCAGGATACCACCAGGTACTCATCACTAACATCAGGGCCCGCTATGTGGCCAATACAATGCCTCTCAAATTGTCTCATCGGAAACACTTCTACACAGGATGGAACATATGTATAAATACATATATACACAATACATATAAAGAACTAAAAATATGCAAATAAACATAAAAAAATACATGTAAGTGTTCAAATGAATTTCCTTGATGCTTAACATTGTGTATATGCTTAATTTCTGTCTTCAAAGAAGACACATAGTGACTTTTTACATTAATTTCACCATTCCATGACCATGTACATTGCATCAGTATAGAAATCATCTCTAAACATTGAATGTTTGTGCTACATCATTCCGTAAGTGTACAAATTCTGCAATACTGAAGCACATCATTTGAAACTGACCGAACTTCTTCTTCGGCTGCCCACCACTTATCCTTCTCCTTCCAGACAACCTCAGTAATGTGATGCTCAGGGTTTCAATGAGGTATTGTCGCCCTCTGTAACAGGAACTTGCCCTATTACGCTTATAGAGTATTACTTATGAGTAATGAACAGCCCTCTGTCGGTCCGTGTGTGTGCTGGGAATCCACCCTTTCATTTGCAACTTCCCAGCCCAGCAGACCGGAGCGCCTGTCACGTGACATCTGTGGACTCGGCGATGGCCGGGGGAGTTTAGTTTCAGTTTTTAAGCCAGACGTGTACGGCAATAAAAAAACCCAACTTGAACTAGTTGTAAGATTTTTCGAAACTGTATCCACTAAACACCCCCAACTACACTGGTTGTCATCCATTACACAGCTATTTTAACGTACTGTAACGCATTCGAACAACCTGCAATGGTGGCCGTATGCGTTACACTACAGTACATAATGTAAAGGCTGCCTTAATGTATTTGCACTACACAGTACCACAGATTATTCTGTCAAGTTTTAAGTAAAAAAAATAGCCACAAGGCGTTTTGTATTTTAGTCCACACAAGCTACCTGCATCACGTGGATGGACTAATTATTCTGTTTAACAGATCCAATGAACCCGCAGCTCTAATTAAGGTCTTGTACACCTGATTTCATGAAAAGAGAAAAAAGACTACTACAGAAATGGGGACATGATGAATTTGGCCTTTGCAATATTCACAAAGCTTTTTCTACAAAATCCTTGATATTTTTTTCTGATGGCTTAACATCAAAAGGACTGTAGAACGACTTTCTCGCTCACGGGATATCTAAGATTAACTGCAGACGCTGTAATTTTCTCCTATTTAGATGTCATTTGTTTAAATCTGATTCCTCAGGTGAAATAGCGAATTTGTGTTAAACCATGCTTGAGTTTAGAATATTGTGCCTAGTGCTTCATTTTCTCCAGTTAATACATACGGTATATACAGTATAAGTTAGATATATAAGCTTTTCTATATGTGTTTCTTCTACATATAAAAGGTTAAGAAACCCTGATCCATGTTATCTCAACACTAAAACAAAAGACGTTTTAAACACATAAATGAGCACGGTATTAAATCTATTTTAGTTAAGACAATGCAAACGTCCAGCCGGTTAGCAGCTGTATGTGTAAAAGGCACACAACATTTTCACAAGAGTAAAATTAAAACGGGAAGACAAAGTTGCGGAAGTTCGTGCCTTTAAAAGCATAAAACTCTGAATCGTGAATCAAAATCTTTGACAGCTCTAATTTTTTTTTTCCACCGGTTGGTTGAACAGGGCAGAGAAGAGCCAGCAATCGGAGCGAAGATACGGGGTCATATGATGAGCCGCGGCGGCGAGCCTCTGTCACATGACCGCCGCTGGCAGCTAAAATCACAGGAGAGTGCGGTGACAGGGCTATGCTGTCCGAGATTGCACCTTTTTGTTTGCGACATTAAAAGTTTGGTGCTAATGATTTCGTTCGCGTGATATTTTGTTTTGTCGGCGTGTCATTCGGCAGACGGCTTCTCCTTTAGCATTTTTCATCTCTCTGCTCTTAAATACACAGCATTGTGGCAAACGGGAATGGTTAAGGAGTATTCTTACCGGCTGCAGCTTGGATCCGGAATGATCTGAACTGACGCTTCCTTGTTCTTCAGCTGAAGTTTTACTATTGGCAAGCTAGCGGAGCAGATCCACGGACACGATGTCGGAAAGGACGCCGCTCCTCCACTATCGGCTCTCGGCCAGTGTCAACGAGTCGGACCCCCAGCGCGTCGTGCAGGAGCGCGGCGCCGCCGCCGGTCCGGCGGCCCCCGGCCCCTCACGCCGGAGACAGAGCGCCCAGCCGCAGAAACTGACCACCTTCTTCGGCGTGGTCATCCCCACCCTGCTGTCCATGTTCAGCGTGGTCGTGTTCCTCAGAATAGGTGAGTTTATCGGTGTGTGTGTTTTTTAGACTTTTGTCTTTTTTTTTTTTTTTTTTTTTTTTTTTCCGCTGCGTTCGTACCTGTTCTGGTTGGTATCACCCTCTTGATAGTTGACGTTTCCGTAGCAAATACCACATTTTAATTTAGAAAAGCGGGTACAGTATGTGTCCCATGCAACGCTGAAACCGCACGAGAGAAGAAAAAGGTCTCGGACACATTTAAATGTACCGATTTATTGTCCCACCACTGCTGGTTACATGGCTGTACTGTAAGCTTGAATTAAATTGACTACTCGCCCTCTCCCTACCGGCGCGTCCATGTGAGATAGTCCCGGACCAGACTGGGAATTCCCGGGGCACCAGAGGTGAAGAAGTCCGAGGAGGCACTACAAAACATTCATCAACAGCCCAAACGATCTGATGCTTTTAGGAAACGCCTTCATCTTTGCATACCGGCAACGGTGATCTGTTGATGAAGTTTCAGGAGTTTACATTTAATCCAAAACCGGCGAATCTCCCCTTCCCAAGTCTTCTCCTTGCGTGAACGTTATCGGTGGATTTCCCCGTTCTCTACACCTGCCTCTCCCGACTCTCGATCAGCCTGTAGTACAACGATTCTGCGGTAAATAAAAACTCCGTTTTCACCGCAGTTTGAGCCATTCTGGGTTTCGCCAACTGAAACTCTTCTACGGGTCGTGTCAAACCTAGCTTCTTTTATTACTTAAGCATTACACCTCCGTGTAAATAGACTCCAAACAGATGGCTTGTTCAGACTTGCAGCTTCTGAAGGCTGTTTGCATATCTCAAGCTTCAAACTCGGTAGAAAGACTTCTGTGTATAAAAGAGTTCTCATTGAATCTCATCATTATTTTTGAACACGCTGTGTGATACCTGTGTTGAAGGTTATCTGTTGTGTTGGGTTGGGTTCTGGGGCATCAGTTTTTCAAAAATTTTTCATCTCTTAAAAACTTCTCATATTGAAGACTAGTCGTAGCTTGGTTAGTTTTCCAGGAAATGTATTCTGTGTTGTAACTAAGTTGGTTTTACATGCAAGGTTCTGAATCTAGCTCTGGCTTAGCTGAACTGTTGAGTTGGGGGACCGATTCCGTCCCTGTAGTGTCTGATGGGATCTTGTGTGTGTATGTGTGTGCCCGCAGGGTTCGTGGTGGGCCAAGCTGGGCTGTACCAGGCTATTGCCATGTTCTTGGTGGCGTACCTCATCATCAGCATGACCGTGCTATCGGTGTGCGCCATCTCTACCAACGGAGCGCTGGACGCCGGCGGAGCCTACTGTATCCTCTGTTGCCTGGACACCAGGTGGTCGCACAGCCGTGCAGAGCTGGCCTTGCACCTGGGTGTGCTTTGGAGCTTCCCGGTACAGCTTTACTCCAAATGTCATTGCACAATCCCTCCAGTTTCTGCAATACCTAATTTTCAAGTGCTTTTCTGACATTTATATAGGAGTGAAGATAATATACTGCAGCTCTCGATGCATTGTGCTGTAATTTAGCCTTTTTAAATGAAAGGTTTTGATGAAATAACACCTTTTTAACACAAATTCAATATAATTTCTACAGTACATTTTGATTAATATTTAGATTTTCCATTCTTTGCTTTTTAACTTGTTTGCAGTGGACTGCTGTTTCAAAAAAATGCCAAATACTCTCCTACACAATAAGTAATTGTGATACATGTATATTAGAAGCATCTAGAAGTCACTTAAAGCCTCCTTTTTGAGTGTTTTATTTGACTGTTCCTAACATGACTTGAGAATAAACCAAGCTTGACATTCGATTATCTTCAGTCTACACTGATCAGCACCTTCACAAACCTCGTCATGACAATTCAAGGTGAACTATACCATGAGCTTCCAGTAAGAATTGCTGTAGCAGCTTATCCATTACATTTATCAATCATCCATTTTCTAAACCGCTTTATTCCGTACGGGGTTGTGAGAGAGCCAGAGCCTATCTCAGCAAGCAGTGGGCAAAAGGCAGGATACACCCTGGAGGGGACACCAGTCCATCGCAGGACACAGAGAATCAAACTGTTCTTTTTTTAACGCATCCATGCAGTTAAGGGCCAGATCTTTACAGTGTAATACAGATCTGTTAGGCTCAACTTCATTGAAAGAAAATGCCTACAATTTCAAGCATCATGGCAGGATTATTTCTGCATAAAGAGGTGAACACTGGGTGAAGAGCAGACCAATGCAGAACGTCTGTAACTTTAACATCACAGGGTAGCTTTCCAAAACATTACACAAATCTGATTTGGCTGGCATTCTGTTTTTTGTTTTTTTTCCCCTCTGACTCGGGGCAGACCAGATGTGAGAATTGTTTGGGCTTTGTGGGGGTCAGTCAGTCAGCTAGTTTAAGCACACTAGCTTCTTCCTCTGTCTATAAATACCTTTGAATAATTTTCTTTTTTTGTTATCCAAAGGCTTTGTCTTTGCATCTATTTATTGCCTTTACCCTATTAGTCTGCATGTTCTCCAAGTTCTCAGGTTTCTGACCATGTCTGGAGTCCTGCTTAAAATTGGGCTTTTTTATTCTCTCCTCCCTACTTCTGTAACTCACTCCAGTTTCTCCCGTCTGTACCCGTTTTAAATCCAGCCTATGGTTCTTCTTCAGAGCTGATCTTCCTCTTTTGTTAAGTCATTAAATATTGGCTGCCTGCAGTTGCTATCTAAAATCTTTGTACTGTATGTTGACAAGCATGTGCTGCAGAGTTAGAGAAAACTACTGAATTATATAAATTATTGTGATTTACCTCACTGTTAAAAAATCTGATTCCTAAGCAATCAAACTTTAAGGAATAGAACATTTATAATACATATTTCTGAACCATTTTAGCCCAAATTCTGTAGTTTTTTTTTTAGTTTTAAATTGCTTCAAATCAGAAGTTCAGAAAGTGGGCTACGTTTCTGACTGTTACACTTGTCAGAAATATGTGAGGCTAGTGGGAGGTACAGTATAGATGACTGAGCTGGTCCGTTTCCCTTTTTGTCTGAGTTTCCAGCTAATCCAGGTCTGTGTACTCCAGCACCCCTCCCATACTCCAGGGAGCCTGCGTACAGTACATTCAAACAGTGGCTTTGCTGACAGGGCTCTGTGTGTGAGAAAGGGAAGTACGTCTGTCTCAACTGTGCAGTGGCTTTCCAGCTCAGGTTTGGGACTTTTATGAACAAATGAAAGCTGGATTCTCACACACACGATATGCCTTGTCTAGGAGTTCATGCTTGTTTGTCTACATGCTTTCATATAGGCAAGTGTGATTAGGCTTATTTCAGAAAAATCCTTTCCTACGCGTGTCCCAGACTCCATATATGTGTGAGTGTGTGTCACAGATATTGTTTGAATAGAACAGAAGTGTCTGCTTCTGTTTCACTAATAGACATAAGCTTATTATATTTAAGCTTCTGAAATTTGAAATGGCCATTTTTGTTTCTTAAGTGCTGGCCTTGTGTTTGAGTCAATCAGTAACTGCTGCTGTCGCACATGTAAAGCGAGGACCTGTGAACGTGCTCCTCTGACTCCCTTGTCAGAGACGTTCATGTTGTGAGATGCTGGCAGCTCTGCAGTGCCCGACAGGAGAGTTGATGCTGATTGGAGGAGCAGCATCTCTCTCGATGATGTCTTTGCAAATTGTACGAGTCACCACATCATTAGAAGACAATCCATGACTAATGTCCATCCTGTCCCAGTGGTGGTATGTCAGTTGTGTGCTGCTGGTGGGGGAATCCCTTCACAATCTGCTAGTGACCTAGGTTGGGAGCATTGACATCAAGACCACAGAGTTCATCCTGCACTGGATGAGCAGGATCATGGGTTGAAGCGTGTGAGAGGTCGACGTTCTTTTGTGTGTGGATTAGAATTGCACAAGAGTATCTGAATAATGCAGACGGTGTTCTCTGATGGGGATGATTTTGCTTACTGACTAAGGTGGTTAAAGCTTGAAACCTGAGATCAGCTGGTCTCAATGTGTTGATCAAGCAGCTCTCAGTGAGAGAAAAGAAGGAAATGATTTGTTTGGTGAGGGAATAAAATTGCTGTTCCTGTAAGTGTTTATGGTTTCTTTTCATTGGTGTGAACCACCTAAAAACGGCTGGGTCATAGTCATTTTCATTTGACTAGGTTGTCAGGCTACTGTGATTCTGCATACATAAGAAAACAATGCACTTGCTGTTCGACAAGTAGTTTTGCTTTTTTGAGTAAGAGGAGTCCTGATATTGGTTCCATGCCCAGCAAATGTAGCTCTGCTGGTGTGTGTATGGGCGTCTAAGGGATTGTCATCCAGGTGGATGCTGCACATTGGTGGTGGTGGAGGGGAGACCCCATTACCTGTAAAGCGCTTTGAGTGGAGTGTCCAGAAAAGCGCTATATAAGTGTAAGCAATTATTATTATTATTATTATTATTATTATTGCATGTGTTTCCTTTGCTGTGTGTGAGTGCCATCTCTGTAGCCCTGTCTGCCACTTCCTCGGTCTTCTGGTTTCTCCGTCCTCTTCTGCGTCGGAATGGCCAGCTTCACGCACCCGCTCCTTGACCCTCCCCGCCCTCTCAGACATGATCAGCCGAGCCATGGGGCCAGAGTTTGGGGGCAGCATCGGGATCATGTTCTTCTTTGCCAACGTGTGCGGCAGCGCCCTCTTTGTGCTGGGGCTGGTAGAGGCCATCATCGACACCTTCGGCATACAAGCAGGTACGGAGGAGCAGTTCGTGCTCAGTGTGCGCCATCTCGTGTCTTGCCTCTGTCCAGGAGAGTCGGTCAGCCCGTTGATCTGAAACGAAGGAAGTGTCACTAATCTTTTAAGTGTAATTGACATTGTAAAATTTGACATGTAGGAATGATGTCTCTTTTTATAGATAAACTAGAGGATTATTTCAATTTATGGTACCGATACACCTGTGGATTTGCTGCCACTTATACGGAAGAATGACCTCTATATCAATGTATTTTTACACCTATAAATTGGAGAATAACATTCAGTTAAGTACTGCCTGTACAGGTGTGTAAACACCTTTATTGTTCAAGTGTTGTTGATTTATTTCTAAACAAAGTAGACATGGAGTTTTTGATTTCATTTATGCAATCTTGTGTAAGGCATTTGTCTGTTCCTTGTTTCACACGAAGGAATCTTGCACATTTGCCAAGATTTACGTGTTTGATTTGTGGCAAAGCAGGTTTTGCAACTATCCTGATACTCGGCAATCTGGCTGTGCCTGTAAAACGATCCAAAATAAGAGAAGCAACTTTTTTACGCCCCTTTCTCATCAAGTAACCTATTAATGCTTCTTTCTGGCTTGCTCTGTGTCTGTTTCTCTGACCTTGTGACCCTGCCTTGCACTCCCTTCTCCCAGACACGGCAGGGGTTGGTGGGGTGCGTGTCCTGCCCAGCTCGTACTGGTGGGCGCTGCTATACGGAACAGGCATCCTCCTGCTGTGCCTGCTGGTCTGCCTGGTGGGCGCCCACATCTACGCCAAGGCCACCTTCCTCATCTTCCTCATCGTCATTGTGGTGCTGGCCACCATCTTCATCAGTTTCTTCGCAGTGGGGCCGCATGCTGTGCCCCTCCCCCAGACCCACGCCAACAGCACCGTTTCCTACGCCAACTTCACGGGCTTCAAGCTCAGCACGCTGCAGGGGAACCTGGGACGTGAGTACCATACAGCCGGCTGTCTGACCAGCACACAGGCCGACTGGAAGGTAGACGTTGTAGGCAGACTGGATAGGCAGCTACATCATAAGCTGCAGAATTCGTGGCATCTCAGTTATTCACTTATTTGGTGTTAGAAATGTTATTTAACTAATTTGACAATTCGCCAAATCTTTTTAGGGCACTTGCATTCATTTTTGCGAGTGATAGTTAAGCTTTGTAGTTGATTTAAACTGCTGGATGAGCAGTTATTTCCGCAGTGTTAGGCAAGTGCCTGCAGTGTTTGCCTGCTTCTGTCTGTGGCCATCAATGGGTGTACACAGATCAGATGGGCCCAGGGACAAAGGGATGTAGAGAAAGTCGAGTCAAGAGGCCGGGGGACATTTGGAGCCATAATGGGAGTCAGGAGGGAAGCAGACGTCTGGAGAGATGCAGAGAGATGAGCTCTGCATGCACACGGTAAAGGGGGTGGTGCTGTAGATCTGTGGGTGGAGCTGAGCCCTGTTTCTGCCTCAGTATGCCGGTGTTTCTCTGCAGCCAAGTACACTGTGGATTACACCACTGGCACCCAAATGACCTTCGCCACCGTATTCGCGGTCATGTTCAACGGCTGCACAGGAATCATGGCTGGATCCAACATGTCAGGTGAGGGCTTGGAGCTGCAAACAAGTACCGTATGTCACTTCTCGATTTAAGACTTTTCTGTTGAGTCTTTGTTTTTGCCTGCATGCTGGAATATCGATTTGCTCTTATTCGCTCACTTGAGGTTGCAGCTGTATTAAGGCAGGCAGGCTACAGGAACAGGCTCGCACTCCGGTAATGTCCTTTGCTCCTGAAGTTGTGATTGTTTGAATTTTTTTCTGGCTAAAGTCGCACAGCTTTCCAGTATATTCAAACATCGCTCTAATCCAGACCTTGCTGGGCACTGAAAACGTAAAGTTCTGACACCCGTCTGACAATGATTCCACATGCATGTGATTGCCCACAGCGCCCAGTTACCAGGCAACACAAGAGCATGTTTGTGCAAGGGGTTTGTGCGTTTGGAGCATAGATTAATGCCTGCTGTGTTGCAGCTAATTTCATCCACTAATTCAGGGGTGATTCTTTACTGATGAGCAAAATCCAAATGCAACATCCTTCTGCAGTAAGATGAGGGCTTCCGTGTTGCACTTCCCAGCTAGTTTGGATAATCGGGACAGCATGCTGAGCTCAAACATGCATTTGGTACTGTTTAAGCCCAGTGTGACTGACCAGGCAGAGATGGGAACTGGCCCTTAGGTTCAGTCTTTGTTCTTCCTGAGTTATATACAGTAGTTATTCTGACTAACTGCATAAATATTATACTTCTAAACAGGTTCCCAGGTTTTTATGAGTAACAGTACCTTTAATGAGGAGACTCCTTTGAGCATTCGGCTGTGAAAGACCAGAAGAAAAAACATAATTAGTGTTTAATTAGCTACTAAGGCTGGAACAAAAACTAGGAGGCCTCCAGGAGTGGAGTTTGAGACGTGTACTGTCAGTGGGTCACAGTTTCCTTCTGCTGTTCTATTATTCTCTGTATAAAGCTCTAGAGGGAGCCCTCAGTGTCCTTTTCCCTACTTTTGTTCAAGGCTGCCTGACTGCTCAGTGAGGCCTTGTTAAATAGTTTTGACTTTTCACAAAGGTGCAGCTCCCACATTCACCCTGCTGGTTTTTGTTGGCGATGACTGTGTGTGAGCTGAGCGGCTGGCCCCTTCTGTTTCCCTCAGGTGACCTGAAGAACCCCAGCTACTCCATCCCGCGAGGCACCATCACCGCCGTCATCTTCACCTTCATCATCTACAACCTGCTCAACGTGCTGGTGGCCTGTACCTGCGATTTGTAAGTCCCAGACCCTCTGTGCCTGCTGTTTTTTTTTTCTCTCCTTCTCATTTCACTGCCAAGCTTCTTTTGCACACTTTTTTTCTTTCTTTGATTTAATATACATGCATAAAACGCAGCTGCTGATTTTTGTAGATGTCTAGAGGCAGCTTGCCGATGCTTCAGGGCAGTTAACCTCAAGATCTCTGAAAAACCCAGGTTGTGATGAATTAAGGCAGCCTCCCCCTCTCTTAGTCTGTCTGTGTGTCAATCTTGGCGTGTCCTGCGCACCAGCTGTGTTGCAGTGCTGTGTACCGTAGTCTTGCAGAGTTAGTGTTGAAGAAAAGATCTGAGATGTGAAAAAGGGGTTAACTGATTTCTTTCTGCGCAAAGACTTCTTGTGACACAAGGCATTCCATGCTTAAGAACTTTTGAGTTATGGCTGGGATGGGAATTAACTGATAAGAGATTCCAAGTGCAAGATAGAGACTCCCTATCTAAGGAAACATAAAACTGGTCATTCAAAGTGGTCAGGGTCTTGGGAATGTCCAAACACAGGTGTTCTCCCCCGTTATGGTAACAGTTTGCGTCAGAAATGGCTGAAGTTTGCTATATGAACTTGAAGTTTTGTACCTATATTCCTAACAATGGTTTGATCTTATTGTCCCTTGCATGCAATAAACTTGGTTGTTTAAACTTCATCTCGGGATACAGAACTTATTTCTCTGTTACGACAGTGTTGTCCTCTGCCCGTGCTGCTCAGCAGCTCAAGAACGCAGGTGTTGCTTTGCTGTGCTACTGGCTGCCTCTTGTGCAATCTGCGTGTTGTGTGACACAGCGCTGTGGTCACAGCCTGGGAAACGCCAAAAACCTTAGTCAGTCCCTCGCTTCGCCTCCTCTCACCACTCTGGGTTGCAGACTTGTGAGAGAGCGAGTGAGAGATGCTGTGTGGAGCCTCGTGATTTTGCACAAGAAGAACCGCAGCTGAGAGGCTGCGAGTCTGGTCCTGAAAGTGAAAGACTAGGCGTCCGTGTGTTCATGTGCTCAAACACCCTTTTTTTCAGAATGTTATTCAAACCTGCATTTGCTTTGGTACTGATAATTTTAATCATCACAGTTTCATTTCTTTTAAGCTTTCATTAGACTTCTTATTGTCAATCCTTACTTTTTGTTTTGAGCACAGATTTGAGCTAGCGAATATTAATATAAAATTCCAGGTTGATTAGCTGAGTTCAGTCAAGGGACATTCATCTGTTATTTCGTGCTTCCAGTGTGAGTCTCATCTGTGCAAGTGCTAGAGGTATACTTGTGTTTGGATGTGGCTGATTTTTAAAAAAATCCAAAACAATTTATAGAGATTAGTTACAGGTACCTGTTTGCTTTACACACAAATCTTGGTGCCTGACAGTATATCTGGGTTTGCAGGAGCATTCTGGGCTAGTGTTAGAGTTAAAGCATCTTGCTCAATGGTGCGACACCTGTGTCCCACTTGGGATTTGAACCTGCAGCCCCTATCGGAAATTCAGAGTCCTGACTCCTGAAGGTGTTACCTTCAAACTGAATCCATACAGACACCAAACCACTGAAGCTAAGCAGGTGTGAGCCTGGTTAGTACCTGGATGGGAGACCTCCTGGGAAAGCTGAGGTTGCTGCTGGAAGTGGTGTTAGTGGGGCCAGTACGGGGCACTCACCCTGCACTATAGTGTAAAAAGGCACCATCCTTTGGATGAGATGTAAAATCAAGGTCCCGAGTCTCTGTGGTCATTAAAAAATCCCAGGGCATTTCTTGAAAAGATTAGGGGTGTTACCCGGGCATCCTGGCCAAATTTCCCATTGGTCTTGACCAGTCTTGGCCTCCTAATAATCCCCATCTATGAACTGGCTTCATCATTCTGTTCTCTTCCACACTGATGGCTGGTGTGGCGAGTGTACTGGTGCACAATGGCTGCTGTTGCATCATCCAGATGGGGCAGCACACTGGTGGAGGTGGAGGGGAGTCCCCATTACCTGTAAAGCACTTTCAGTGGAGTGTCCAGAAAAGAGTTATAAGCTAATTCCCAGATGAAGATTATTAGGAGGCCATGATTGGTAAAGACTAATGGGAAAGTTGTCCAGGATGCAAGGGTGACACCCCTACTCTTTTCGAGGAACACCCTGGGAATTTTAATGACCTCAGTTTTACGGCACCTTTTTACACTATAGTGTCTCCGTTGCTACTGTATACAGGGGCATTAGGACCCACGCTGACTGCAGAGTGAGCGCCCCCTGCTGGCTCCACTAACACCTCTTCAAGGAGCAACCTTAGTTTTCCCCAGGAGGTCTCCCATCCAGGTACTGACCAGGCTCACACCTGCTGAGCTTCAGTGGGGTTGTCAGCTGTGAGTAGGAATAGTAATAAGGGTTCTGTTAGGTGCAGTGACACTGCTAATCGGGTAGGGTTAACTTTAGTCACACTGGAAAAGAGGCACATTTTCACAATCCTGCCTGTATCCCAGCAAAGAAAAGGTAAGGGCAGCGATTATTAAACTGATCATTTTTTTTGGAAAAATATATTTAAATGGAAGGTTTTGAGTGCGTTGAGTTTTGAGCTATAAAGGTTGTAGCAGATAAACATTGTAGGTCTGGATTGGTAAATGCTGACGTGTTGTAGTTGGAAACCTTTTAGAATGGGGGGACATAACCATGAAGCCCCATTGTAACATTTAAAATCGGCAGTTTCTCTTATTATGCTTCAAATTGCTTTGAAAACCTTGCTGCACGTTGCACAAAGCAGACAGCTGCATGAGTAGTCCTGAGTGCACATTTAATTAGGAGAGACTATACAGTAAACAGTGCTGCAATGGAAAGCAAACTTAAAAACCGCGCGGTAGAAATAAAAAGCACGGTACTTTTCTTAATTCACTCACCAGTGTTAATCAACGTTTAGAGCCGTTGTTTCTCTCATTCGCTGAGGCATATCCTGATCACAGCAGGTAATGGCCTTTAACAGGCACTAGGCAAGAGGCAGTGGAGATTCACACCTTTTGAATTTCACTGAGGTAACACATTTTCCTTGGTCAGTGTGGCACTTCTCACCGGTGCCTCACTGCTCCTGGGTTCCAGGTTCTGGCCTGGGGTGCCTTCTGTGTGGAGTCTGCATGTTCTGCGCTACATGCTTTTGATGTCTCTTACATCATCGTTCTTCCCGTGATATAAAGATGTGCTGTCCGGGTTCTTTGGCATGTCTAAATATTGTGCGCATACCCAGCAAGGGACTGGCTGTCCTTCCAAGGCATAGTCTCAGCTTGTGCCCTGTCCTTCCCCGATAGACTCCCGGTTGCTTCTCACCAGAGAGAGATCACTTTCTGATGATAATGATGTTTTTTTTTTTGTAATTCAGTGAATATTCCAAAGGTTTCTTAGATAATGATTTAGCAATTGAGTATTTCTATTGCGGTGGTTGTTTTAATCTTTTGTGCAATCTCTTTTAAAGAGGGGGAAAAAATAGCACAGGCAAATAGTCCCTTAAACACAATGCAATGCTTTGTGAAGGCAGTAATTTCCCCCTCAATTTTTTTTACATCCTGCACTAGCCTACATGGTGGTGTTTGCTGTACCAAAAGCACACCCTCTTGAGAGTTTAGAATGAAGATTGCAGATGAGCAAAGCAGTTCAGCTTCTCAAGAGTGTTTGGGTTTTTAGTAGCTTAGAGGTCTGTGGATGTTGTTTAGCTGCGTGTTGAAAAGCCAGCATGTTAGCTTTAACAGCATGGTTGAACAGCTTGTTCCAGACTCCCACAACCCTCGAGCCTAAAGAAGTGCCCTCTGTTCTCTGAACGGATGTAAGTCTACAAGTATTTTTAGGTTTACAGCTATCGCTGCTTTCAAATGTGTTTTGTAAGAAAAGCTGCATTATAACCTCAAGATATCATGATGTGTAGGAATGAGGCCTGACTTGAAGCACAGTTCTGTGACAAATGGTGTTGCCGTATTTACAAGAAATGAGGAACGTAGCCGTTTCAGGGAAGGGAGGAGAGCGAACTGAAACCTGGTGCACTTCTCTCGTATTTCCATACGAGTTTTTCTCTTTTTTAAAAAAAAAAAATTGATCTTCTGAAGCTCAATGGATTGGGTTTCCAAAAACATTGTATTAGCCATCATCTTGTGCTTTTAAGGAGAGAGCTGACTCAAGGACACATACCTGCTGCTCAGATAGGAGCTGACGTGCTGAAAATGAGTTCAGTGAAGTTGGTGGCTCGTTGTTATTTTGAACAATGGAAAGTTCCAGGCACATTGTGTATGGTGACATAATCTAATATATAGTTATGTGGAATCTACTACGCATGGTTTTGGTGCTGGAGCCTCAGGTTTTAGAAATTGAAGTACCTAGTTTATATGATGTGGTGAAAACATTTTTTCTGCTTAAGCTGTATATAATTAGTAAATTACCTTAGCTTCCACCAGGTGGCAGTCTTTTGCAAGTCAGGCAGCATGGGAACAGTAACCTCTCCTATCTGTCCGTAGCAGCACAAACACCTAAAACGGCTGTAGAGCTGGAGATAACTACTTTTATTTCAGTGTGTTTGATACCTTTGCCACTGTTGTCGTAGTCAAGCCCATAATGCCCTTGATTTCCAGACCTGTGTCAGAGAGACAATTGTGATGGTATATTTTTTTAAAAAAAGGATGGAAGATATCCAGATTTTCCAACATGCGTTCCTTGCTGGTCCTGTTTGCAAGCATCCCTCAGAGACTGATATGGCACTTTATAACAGGGTGAATAATTTGGAAAACGGCAGCTCGACTTGTGTCGGGGCATTGCTGTGAGAAGATATTTATATCTGGTTTTATGTCCATATTGAGTTTTTAATCTGTATTGGCCTTACAGTGTTCATTGCTCCCCTGCTTGAACATCACTGACTTAATTCCCTATTGCTCAGCCCAATAAACTAAGACAAAATGCTCTTCCATACTCAAAAGGTCACTCTGCCTCTGTGAAGGAAGGAGAAAAGGGGGGATTAAAAGCAGAAGGAGTGGGGAGGT